TCTTAGGTGGCTTTGTACCACATAACAAGCTGTTAGAACCCAACGTCACATATCAGAAGAATAGCTTATGATGGGAATTAGGGATGGTATATGAGTTCTTTATCGCATTTTCTTTATAAATCATATTTTAAAGGAAAGTTTCAGGTATGAACTCGAATTACAAACAAATAAATTTATTTCCAAAGTGTCACAGGTGCCCAGTATGTAACACTATTGGACAACAACGGTAAGGAATAAATTCCAAATTTTTTAAAAAATTCATGAGGCAAATTGACATTAACCATGTTAAGAAATCAAATTGGCAGATCACGAAGTTAAAAAAAATAGTTTTTAGTGATGATGAATCTGATGATGATCAAAACTCTCTCTTTTGGCCAAGTTTTTAAAAAAAAATTGAAGAACCAAGTGGTAGTGGCCCCCACGTGGCCAAATAACACGTTACCATTGATAATAATGGACAACGAGGCCAGCGATTATAGCGATTCTTCTCAAACGCGTTACGCGTCCAAGAAACGCATTTGCGCCTTCCCTCGTCTCTCTCTTTGCTCTTTTGCTTGCATTGCCGGCGTTGGATTCGATGCCTTCCTTCGCCGCCTTTATGGATTTTTCCCACTCCCCACTCTCTCTCCCAAACGCGTTTCCTCCACAACATTCAAAATAATTCAAAACAGAAATTTAAAAAAAATAAAAAAGAGAAAATATCCTTCCGTTGTTGACTTCAAACAGAACTAGCGCCAACGACTCCTTCGCTGTTAATCGCTTTGGTCTTATTTAAAATAAACATTTAAATCCAAATTTTCCACCTCACCCTCTTCAAGTCCCTCTCTAAATTAACCTCTCTGCCTCTTTCTCTCTCCCTCTCTCTCTCTCTCTTGCTCGATCGCTCGCCTTGTTATTGTTCTTCAGAAGCTGCTGTGCGAGCAAAATCAGAAACTAGGGTTAGGTTACATCGGAGATGGCTCCCAAGGATCCGAAGCAGAGTGGAGGTTTCTTCGCCTCGATGGCTTCCACTTTGACCAATCTTGGCAGCGCCATGACCAAATCCGTCAACGGGTATCAGTCAAATCCTTCTTTAATTTCATCTTTTGAGCTGGTTCTGTAATTCGTTTACAGTTTTTGGTTTCATGGAGATCGGATTTTGATTTGTGTCTGTTCGATTCTCTTGCTCTTTGTGTCAATTGAAGCACTCCTGGTGCTAGCTGTTACTATGAAAGCTTTGAATCTGGCTTCTATGTTCTATTGGGTTTGAAATGAATCGCTTACTAATTTGGAATTTCTGTTGATCTGGATTAATTTAAGTGGTTTTTTGATGGTTGTGGCATTTACTTGGTGTTTAATTACTTAGAAGTACTGCCAAGTTCTGAATCTAATGTCTGCATGCTGAGAAGCTAGTTTTCTATGTTTTGAAGAATCCGATTGAGACAATTCTTGGTATTTTCACTGTACAGCGTAGTGGGTTATGAGGGGCTGGAGGTTATCAACCCAGATGGAAGCTCCGAAGATCTTGAAGACGAAGCAAGGAAAGGAAGGTGGAAGCAGGAGGTACACTACTTTTCTGCCATGGAAATACCCAACTCCCCTATATGACAATAGAGAAAACGTTTCCATATTGGTTTTGTTCCCAATATAGTTGTTAGGGTTGCAAAACATATGTCAAGATTCCATTTCTCGCATGGTGATCAGCCCTTATATTAGCTCGTGTCTGATGGCCTTTGAAGGCATTCATCATAGAGTACCATATGGTGCACTGTAATTATCACGATCACCTAGAATCAGGCATCGTGTCATTTCTAATTTTTCTTTGGACAAGCTGGATCAGTTCATTCTTAGTTGACTAAAATGAAACCTTTTCTTCCTTAATTCCTTGTATGGCAGCTTCTGTGCATGGCTTGTGTTGATCTATTAAGCAGAAACTGATGCTTTTCCTGTAGGGATAATAAGACAATCTATTTTTGTATTGATAAAAACTACTTTTTTTTTCTTTTCAAAACTCTCTAATGCTTTCATGCATACTCAATTCAGAAGTTCTTCCTCTTTCTTTTTTAGGATCGGGATGGTTACTGGAAGGTGATGCAGAAGTATATAGGCTCTGACGTCACATCATTGGTGACCCTTCCAGTGCTTATTTTTGAGCCAATGACTATGCTACAGAAAATGGCAGAGGTTTGTGTTATTTGTAATTGAATGGCATTATAAGAAGCTTTGTTCAATCCGATCCTGTTCTCCTCAGTGAATCTTACAATTGCCCAAATATGTCACAGCTGATGGAATACTCCCATCTGTTAGATCTGGCAGATGAATGTGAGGATCCATACATGAGATTGGTGTATGCTTGTAAGTATTTTCTGCATCTCTGCTCTGTATAGGCATTGCTGTTTCCACTTCACTTCCCTCTCCTTCTCTGTTTGTGCATGCACTGTATGATGACTAACTTATAGTTGCTGGTTGCAGCCTCATTTTTTATATCTGTTTACTTTGCCTTTCAACGAACCTGGAAGCCATTCAATCCAATACTTGGTGAGACTTATGAGATGGTTAACCATGGTGGCGTTACGTTTATATCAGAACAGGTGAGTACTAAGCACCAAAACTAGCAATTCTCTGTTTAGTTTTAATTTATGGTGCTTTGGGATGAAAATAAAAGCACTTTTTATTTATTTGCATGAATCTCAAGTTGTTTGGTATATACTGGGATGCTTATCATTATCATATTTAAATGAGTTGTATTCCTTCCAGGTCAGTCATCACCCTCCTATGAGTGCTGGTCATGCTGAAAATGAGCATTTCATTTACGACATAACTTCGAAGGTGAAAACCAAATTTCTGGGGAACTCAATTGATATCTATCCAGTTGGAAGGTAATATTATTTGATCTTTCTCTTTGGCTATAATTTTGTTACTAAGTGATTTTGTATCTTCTTAACTCCTTTGAAATTGTAATGGTAACCTTTTATCATGAGATTTGAAAATGAAAACATTTTCCTCATCTAATGATTTGTGTTTAAGCAAGAGATGAAATTGCATAGTACTCTTTAGTAATAACTTGTGTAACCTTTAATTGTTTTTTATGCAGAACGCGTTTGACCCTAAAAAAAGATGGTGTAGTCCTTGATTTGGCACCCCCTCCAACAAAAGTTAACAACTTAATTTTTGGACGAACATGGGTTGATTCACCAGGAGATATGGTTCTGACCAATTTGACCACGGGGGACAAAGTTGTGCTATATTTTCAACCATGCGGCTGGTTTGGGTATGATTACCTTTCTATTGTAGTGTTCACTGCTCATCACTTGTAGCATTGTTTGCATCACGTGACTGCTTATTGAGTAACATCTTGTGGGAAGGTATTTTGGTCATACAATCGAAGTTTCAGGTCTAAAACTATCTTCTAGGCTTCTATTAAAAAAAAAATAACTGTAACATTGTGAACCTACCTTCCTTTTATTTTATCAGTTACCTACTCCTGATTGGGCACAATATACTCACAGGATGCAGTGATCCGAAACAAAAATTGATAACACCAAAATTTTAGACCAGACTGAGTGGCATGGGAAAAACCCCAAATTGAGGGCCAAAACTAATGTGGAAAGAGATATATGTAGTCAACTCCAGTCTTTTGGGATAATGACTTGGTTTGGGTTCAAGGCTTTTTAATCTTTAGTTATCCTAGTGTATGCTCTATGTTGATTTCACACTTGATCTTGTAAAATATTGTGCTTGCAGATCTGGTCGCTATGAAGTAGATGGGTATGTTTATAATTCTGCCGAGGAACCTAAAATATTGATGACTGGAAAATGGAACGAGTCAATGAGTTATCAACCCTGTGACTCAGAAGGGGAACCACTTCCTGGCACTGAACTGAAAGAGGTTAGGTTTTACCAGCTACACCTTGTAACTTGTAGAATCTTATTTAGGAAAACCTGGAGTGGACTTCTGTATGGTTCTTGCAAAGTGGAATTGCAGGTTCAGACCTGAGGTCATTGATAGCTATATTTGTCCTTTACATATCTGGTGTCCAGTTGGTGTATGAAGTTGTAGAAACCAACTAATCTTTATAGTTCATAGGCACTCCTATTTTTTTTGTGGCCAGTTTTGAATTTTGTATTGAGTGCATTCTCATGATCATGATGCCATGTTATTTATCTCCCCAAAGACTGAGAAGATTGGTAACTATTTTATTTTGTTCCTTCCTTTTTGTCATATCAGAGGACTAGCGTACTAGTTGAAAACTATTTTTTTGTCCATTTCTGGTGACCTAGCAAACAAACTTTTTTCTTTGTTTGTTCCTTTCAGTAAACTCATAGGAAATTATTCATTGTTTCATTGCAGGCGTGGAGAGTTGCTGATGTTCCAGAAAATGATAAATTCCAGTACACACATTTTGCGCATAAGATAAATAGCTTTGACACTGCTCCTAAGAAGTTATTGGCATCAGACTCTCGCTTGCGTCCTGATAGATACGCACTGGAGCAGGGTGACCTATCCAAAGCTGGTTTTGAAAAGAGCAGGTCTCTCTCTCTCTCTCTCTCACACACACACACACACACAATACAGTAAGAAGATTGAATATCATTGGTAAAAACTGACGTCTTAAATATGTCTACCTACTTTCTTGTCAGTCTGGAGGAGAGACAGAGAGCTGAGAAGAAAAATCGAGTGGCAAAGGAACAGGAATTTACTCCAAGATGGTTTGACAAAACAGATGAAATCTGTCCTACAACGTGGGATGACTTGGAAGTGTACCGCTACAATGGAAAATACACTGAACATCGGGCTGCAGTAGATAACTCAGACAGCGTTGAAGCAATTGACATCAAATCAATAGAGTTCAACCCCTGGCAATATGAGAATTTGGCTGCTGCTTGAGGTGTATCATGTGATTGTTTTGCTTGTATAATAGTTTTGCTTATTTATTTGTTATTCTTACCTTTGCTCGCTCCCCTTGGGAGTCAGTATCATGATGGAATCATAAGACGGATAGGCTTTCCTAGCTATGACATTGATGTTTTGTGGTGGTAGATCTTTTGCAATCTTTTATTATGAAAAGCAATTCAAGGTTGGAAATCTCACTCGTTCTTGTGTGATGATTTCTACAAATATCGTACTGGATAGCTCTGTTAATGAGGTGTCTGTGAGTTAGGGTTTAGAATACAATGAAAGAGATGCAAGTAGTGATGGTGGTCCTGAGACAGGCACGCATGATTATGTGCTGTTGTGATGATGGTGGTGGCTCGCACGTGTAAAGACTGTGAGCTGCTTCCAAAGTTCTTGGTGAGCCTCATTTTCAGAGAAACATGGGTTTGTCTTTCAGCTGGCTGATGTAAACCGATGCGAAAAAGAGGTCACATTGTGGCCTGCGTTCTCTCTCAAATTCCTTCCTGTCCGTACTCTGAAGACCCTTTCAGACCTTTTTCACTTGGTCCTCCCTTATCCACTCTCCCTCTCACCACAAAAAATATGCCACCCTTATCCCCTAACTTATCGTTCTTTGCCTCTCTTAGCATGTTAGAATGCTAGCTTTACCTCTTCCAATGAAATCCCATCTCATGAATTTATGGACCTCATGCCATTGTAATGTGGGTTTGGTTTTTGGGTTTATACGAAGTGATTGGATATTTGTCTTCAGTCCAAAATTGGATGCTACTTTAGCTTTCATGTCATAAATTTTGTCCAACTACCCCGACGAGAGAGAGATGTCTGCAACTTTTTCATCCTAGAGAGACAAACATAGTGTCCATATAATTCGTTTGAGTTTTTATAATTTTGGCAAGCTCTCATTGCCCCTTTAATTGGACTCCACACTTCACGAACTTACACACCCATGCGTGTATGCGTGGGGTAGTCTGAGTTCAAATCGAATGTTGAAACGCGTTAATTTTATTTTATTGAAACGCGTTTATTTTATTTTATTTTATTGAAACGTGTTAATTTAATTTTATTGAAGAAAATTCTGAGTTCAAATCGAAAGTGGTCAACGACGTTGTCGACTATTAACATCAATAATAAGAACATATTGACTCATAATTCAAGAGAGGACACATTAGTTGAGGAATCGACAAGTTATAAGTTGGAGTTGTGCAGATTTTTATTACTTTGGGACAAGTTCTTACATGAGCACATAATTAAGGTATTTTTATGCACACAAAAGCCTTGGTATAAGTTGGTCAAAAAAAGAAGACAAGGAACGTGGAACACGGTGGAAGAGCCTAGCAAGATCAGCAAAGATGATCAAACCTCTCCCGTACGCACAGTGAATTGCATAACCCCCCTAAACGTGTTTTTATGTGAACGAGATAAGATTCAACCCAGAATTATGGAGAGACTTACACGTGTCAAGAACAGAACTGATGTGGCTCAAACGTAGGAACTGGTCCAAGAGGTTTTTGTTAACTGCTGTAGCCGGTAAACTCCCACCAGTTACCGGTTAGCTCAATCATGGGGATGAAGTTCAAACTTTATAAACAGTTGGGGGGGTTTAAGAAACAAGTTGGGTGGTTTTCAGGGGGTTTTTGGTGATCAGACAGAACCCACTTTCGTAGGGGAGGTGAGAATATTATGTGTATTTTAGACACTGCTTTCTGTGTCCCTTAAAAGAAAAAACAAGAGTAATTCTCTCTTTTCAGGCAGGGATTTATATTTTCATCCATGAAAATGAGAACCCAGATCAAATTTTGCATGTATTTTTCTAAAATCTCATATTTTTCTGTTTAATATGCTTGCCCTGATGTGTTTTTGTGTGTTTGCACATTTGAATTTCTTCGAATTTTTGTCTTCCACATTCCCCTGTCATTCTCATGTAAACTCACTTTCTAGTGGAATTGTAATTCCTTCATTTCTTCTCTCTCTCTCTCTCTCTCAAATATATATATGATGTTTGAACCAATTAACTATATGATGATCTGCCGTTTTACTTTCTGTCAGGGTTTAACGTTGGCTTCCTGTTCTTTTATATACTAATACATATGTTAAGTTATGCCTTCGTGACATAAAAAAGGTGTTAACTTTGTTATGATTTGTAGAAACTGAGGGGTCTTGTTTAGGAACAAGTTGACATATATTGTATTCTGCAATGGGATGATTTCAAGGTTTTCTAACTACCCTTTTGCCTGTAAGCCTTCTTTACCCTTTTAACTGTAAGCTTTCTTGTCTGCATTGCCTCACACATATACTATTCTAGTCATTTCTGCATTTGATTTTCCTTTGTTTTAAATTTTGGCGATCTGGAAGTAGTCATGAAGATGTTTTGTCAGAAATGAAACTGAAAAATGAATTTCCCAGGGGAAAGGGAAGGAAAGCAGGAAAGCTACATTTGGTTGCACAGAGTTTTTGGAATTTATTTTGATTATGATCTTCTGTTGTTCCGTTTTTTGAGTTGTACTTCACTGAATTAAATTTGGTCCCAAAGTTGGTCTTCTCTTAGTGCGGATCTCATTTTGACTTTAGAACTTTGGGTTTTGTAGCAATTGGTACAAGACCACTTAAAAGCATATAAGATCTTATCTGCATTATGTACCCGTTGTTAAAGAAAGAGTACGATTTGTTTGATGTTTTTGTGTCCTAGTGTTCTTGGTCGGTGTTCTTTTATTCATGGGATTAGGACACATAAATTCTTTTTTGTATTAAGTTATCAACCACCCAACAATTTGTTTCATATATGTTCCTTTTTTGTTGATCCGGCCTCTTAACCTTGATGCGATATTTATTCGGTTGAAGTACAAGTTCTGTTCTAGTTTCATCAGTATTAGTCTACTATCTACATCATACAGCCCAGCTTCACCCCATTCAGTGGTCTTTTACCTTTTTTCTTTCTTCACATGCATTCGATGCAAGAATTTCCTGGCTGCCTATTCTGCTACTTGTTTTTCACAAATTTCTATATTTTCCATTCCTCAACGCATAAGTGAATTTCATGTCATTGTTTTTTATCTTGTGATGTTGAACTGATTGCATTAATTTTGGTTAGCTAACAGGGTCTTGTTCTGTAGGCCTTGAGATTAAAGAAGCTTGTTACTTTTAGCAGATGACTTTTTCTACTTGCGATGAAAGTCTGAGATATGGTATTGCAGCGGAGGTTGGACTATGGCTTCAATGGCTACCAGGTGCCTGAGGTTCCTCGAGCTTCTAGATCAGCCAGGGTAAAGGCTCCCATGACCAATCTTATGGGTTGCCTGTTGACATTCTATTTTGTGTGTACAAGGAGTCCTGATCTTGTGATCTATTAATATTTTTGGTTCAGGGAAGGGGACCTATCAGGAAGAAACTTGAGGCCAATCAGATTCGTGCTTTTGAGATTTTGGCCAGTGTAGCTGGTAAGTTATTGCAGGAGAGCGAACATCCTCTGCCAAATGATTCTTGTGGAAAGGATACGCATTTCATTTTTGATGATACCACTAAGAGCAAACAGGAGAAAGGCAACTCGTCAAAGGAAGACCCGTGTGAGCACGGAAGCTGTGATGAGCAAACCCTTTTATGTGTGGGCAGGATGCAAGAGTGCCAACAAAGTTATACATTGAATGGGGTTTCACATTCTCAGGAAAATTTTAGTTATGAGATCAACCGAGCATCAAAAAGTTTTGATCATTCAGAGAGTATATATTCTAACAAAGTATTCAGTGACTCTCCCTTATCTGGAGATTCTGTTGAAGAGAAGCCATGGGGTGTACTCAAGAGGAAGCTAGAGACTGGACCATCAAAGGATACGAGCATAAACGATGAAAGAACCCAGATTTTAGGCAATTCTGAGGATATAATGAAAGTGGAAGGGATGCCTCCTGAACTGGTCAGTTGTGGGCATGATGTAAAGACTTACTTTTCAGGGGACTGCAAAAATCATGATCCTTTACTCTGCCATTGTGCTAATATTAAAGTAGATAGTAGAGATGATGACGAAAACTGTGTTAGGTATGCCCAACCCCTCAGCGTGGTAAAAGAATTTGAGCACCCACCAGATGCCGGTGATGAGAAAATAAATAATATGGCTGCGTCCAGGCACTGGAGAGAAGCTCCTGAGAGGAGGATTGGGGGTTATTCTAGAAATGGTAATTGGCTTTGTAATGCACTCTTGTTTTGAATGTAAAGTAAGTTGTAGGTGTTATGATTAGTCTGTTGGATTTCATGAACCGTGCAATTGATATTAGTTTCCTATCAATATCCTTGGCTTAGGATAGAAACATTTTTTCTTGTGCCCTTTTTGGTGTATTGACTAAACCTTTCTGGATTTTATGTTCGTTATGATAAATAAGCTTTGATGGTGGTTTGATGCTTTCAGAGGGGAAGATCAGGCAAGTTTACCGCCACGGGAGAACTTGTTATACACATCAAGGATCACAGAAGATTTATCCTTTCAAAAAGAGAAAGTTCTTTAATCGGATGCCACTCACTACACCTGATAGAGAGTTTAACTGTCAAAGCATATTTAATTCTCCTGATAAGAGAGTAAATAGTGACAACTACTGCGCAGGTTCAATGATGCATACTGTCCGCTTTCCATTTTCTACACATGTGCACAGTGCACATTATACTCTCCATTTACATTGAAGGTTTAGGTTTTAGGGATGTATCAAGTTTGGCTTAACAATCCTAGCTCCTAAATGCAGAAATTGGACCATCATCCTCAACAACAGGTGGGCAAGTACCACTCAAGTCCAGTGATTGCAATGGTAAGAATATCTATTGACGTTGTCTGCAATTCTACTACATTTGCCATTTTACTTTATAATTTTCTTACATGCTCTTCCTTTTGCTAATCAGTGAAGCTTAGTATTAAATCCTTCAAGGTTCCTGATCTCTTTATTGAAATTCCTGCAACCGCAACTGTTGGTTCATTGAAGGTTTGTGTTTTACCTTTTTCCGAGCTGTTGATATGTTAACTTTGCTTCCATATTGTTTCCCTAGGTTTCAAGAAACAATTAACATTTAAGCCTAACTCTATTTTTTGAAGTGGTGGGGGATAAAGATATGGTGTGGATTTTAGAATGTCATATGAAACATTTAGTCAAATCAAATGTGTTTCACCAAAGCCATTGCAGGTTACTTCAACTTATCAAAAAAGTAGTTCTTGACATTA